TGGATTCAACCATTAATACATTTAGCATAAGTTAGAAGGACTTCTGTCCTTCATACTGAGGTATTGCTATGGTGAAAGACATTGAATATTCATACCCACAGGTGCTCTATATCAGAGTGCAGACAACAGAATGTAAACACATATGTGAATAAGTGAATAAATTAGGTAATGCCACGTCAAACCTGTCCTGCAGGAGGTCTGAGGAGATGGATCATTTGATAAAGTGCAGGCCTTAAAAGCACAGGGACCTGAGTTCATTCCTCAGAACTGGGTTTGGTTTTATTTTGTTTTGTTTTGTTAAGGCCAGATATAATGGCATGTGCTTACATCATAGTGCTGGGGAGGTAGAGACAGGTTGCTCCTTGGAGCTCCCTGGTCAGCCAACCTAGCCTTCTTGGTGAGCTTCAGGCCAATGAGAGAATTTGGTTCAAAAACTGAAGGTGGGGCCTGGAGAGATGTCTCAGCAGTTAAGAACACTGGTTGTTCTTGCAGAAGACCTGGGTTCGAATTGCAGCACCCACATGGCAATTAACAACTCTCCGTAACTCCAGTCCCGGGGGATTCGACAGCCTCTTCTGTCCTCCGCGGGCATTGCACGACACGCGTGCACTTACCTACATGCAGGCAATACACGCATACACATAAAATAAAAATAATTTAAAAAAATTTTGGGATAAACCATTACTAAGTAGAGTTGGCGTTTATTTTTTTAAAGTTTAAATTGCAGTTTTAAAATCTGTGTATATGTGTGGGTGTGTGGGTGTGTGGGTACTCATGTGTTTAGTTCAGAGACAACTAGTTGCAATTGGTTCCTTCTTTTCCCATGTGGGTCTTAGGGCTTGAACTCAGGTTGTCAGGCTTGGTGGCAAGTACTTTTACGTGCTGAGTCATTTTGCTGGTCTTATCTGAAATTCTTTCTTTTCTTTATTATTTTATTACATTATTTGTTTAATTTTGTGGTGTGTGTGGACATGCCACAGCATGCTTTTGGAGGTCAGAGATCAATTTGTGGGTGTTAGTTCTTCCCACCATGTGGGTTTTAGAGATTGAACTCAGGTTGTGAGGCTTGGCAACAAGAGCCTTTACCCTCCTAGCCATCTCCTGGCTCCTGAAAATTAAAAAGAATGTGTATGTGTGTGAGTTTGTGCACATGAGTGCAGGTGCCCTCAGAGGCCAGAGGCACTGGATTCCCCCGGTAACTGGAGTTATAAGTAGTTGTGAGCTGCCACCCAGTGAGGGTGCTGGGAACCAAACCTGGGTCTTCCGTGTGAGCATTATGTGCTCTTAACCACTGAGCCATCTCCCCAGCCCTCTGAAATACTTTTTCTTTTCTGGTCTTTATGAGACAGGGTCTCCCTGTAGCCCCAGCTGGCCTGGAACTCACTATGTAGACCAGGCTGGCCTTGAACTCACAGAGATCTGCCTGCCTCTGCCTCCCTAGTGCTGAGATTAAAGGCATGTGCTACCTCATCTGGCTCTCTGAAATACTTTTTATGCTTGTGTTTTAGTTAACTTTGTGTTACTATAGCTGAATAGCATTAGCCAGGTAATTTATAAAGATTTTTTTTAAGGTCACGGTTCTTAGTTCTTCTGGTTGGAAAGTCCATGATTATGGTCTTACATGTAGTGAGGGGCTGCATCCTGTATAATAATTTGGTAGAGGGCATCACACCAGACTGCAGGCATGCCAGAGAGACCTTGCTTTTGTAACACAGCCACTCCTCATTAACTCATTAATCTGCTCATGAAGAGAGAGTCCTCATAACTCCCCAAGGCCTCTCTTCCAGATTCTATTAGTGTATGACTTTGGGGTTTAGGTTTCCATTGTATGAATTCTGGAGGGTACACTTAAGTAATAGCAGCTTATTCGTTATTTATGTCTTCCTTTATAAAATATAAGGCAGAGCTGGGTGTGGTGGGATATGCTTTTAATGCCAGTAGAGATAGGCACAGCTTTGTGAGATCCAGGCCAACTAGGGCTATAGGAGACCCTGTCTCAAAAAAAATAAAGTGGGGGCTGGAGACATGACTCAGTGGTTAAGAGCACTGGATGCTCTTGGAGACGACTTGGTTCCCAGCACCCACATGGTGGCTATGGCTAACAGCCATCTGTAACCCCAGTTCCAGGGGATCTGATGCCCTCTTCTGACCTCTGCAAGCATTGCATGACACGGGTGTACTTACATACATGTAGGCAAAGCATGCATACATATAATATGAAAATAATAAAATATTAAAAATAGGCTGGGTGTGGTGGTGCATGCCTGTAGTCCCAGCACTTGGGAGGCAGAGGCAGGGGGATCTCTGTGAGTTCAAGTCCAGCCTGGTCTACATAGTGAGTTCCAGGACAGCCTGGGGCTACAGGGAGACCCTGCTTCAAAAAGACTGAAAAAAAAAATTAAAAATAAATACAATAGCATATTAATGTATATATATGTATACCTATATATACACATATGGCAGATTATATACTAACATAGGTTTCTTTACTCTTATTTGCTGTTGTAGCCTATATCTGAAAAGTACATCCACATAGGTGTCTATGAAACATTTGCTGAACACAGGAGTATTTTCTACAGACATTTAGAATGAGGATGTTCCCACAGAATTTCTTCTCAAAGATAGAGCCTATTTGTTTCAGGTGTAGTGCATACTGCACTTTTGGATATAACAGATGGGGAAAAACCCCATCTTCAAACATAAGTCCATGCAGAGTTTGAGTGGGAGGACTTGCATCTGTGATTCCAACACTTGGAGTAGAAGCAGAAGGACCAGGACTTAGAGGAGAGCCTAGGCACATTAGCAAGACTGTGTCTCAGTACACATATACATTGGAATATCCAGTTAAGCCAGTAGTTTTAGGTAAAGTTACTTAAAACTGCCTTATTAACTTGTATTTGGAAACACAGATTGAACTCCATAGGCTTTAAAACATAAAAAAAGATGGGGCCTGGAGAGATACTTGGTGGTTAAGAGCATTGGCCGCTCTTGCAGAGGACCCGGGTTTGATTCCCAGCACTCATTGTGGCAGTTAACAACTCTCCATAACTCCAGTTCAGGGGATCTGACGCCCTCTTCTGACCTCCTTGGATATTTCCTGACATGGGTGCATTTACATACATGCAAGCAATACACGCATACACACAAAATAAAAATAAATGAAAGAGGACATAGTATGTGTGGGGTGGGGAAGTAGAAATAGGCTGAGAGGAGATGGGGAAGGGTTGGATAGGATCAAAATACATTGTGTGAAAGTGTCAAATCAATAAATATCATTAAAAATTGTATGGATAATAAACTAATTGCTTGGCATTTTGTACTTGTGTTTCATTTTTGTTTTTGAGACAGGGTCTCCCTATAGCCTCAGCCTGGACTTTGCTATGTAGATCAGGCTTGCCTGGATCTCACAGAGATCTACCTGCCTATACTGGGATTAAAGATGTGTGCCATCATGCTGGCTAATTGCTAATTTTTTCAAAGTATTTCAAAATTAAGTTTATTGGATTGATTTTGTGAATATTATATATAAGGTAATATTTGTTTTAAGGTAATTATTGTTTCAAATGCTTTAATTGTATTAAAGCCATTAGAAATTGGGTGCTGAAGTTTTACTAAGAATCTAGAGTGCAGGATATTTACCAGGTTGAGTAGTAGAGTGTAAATTGTCATTTAATTTCTTAAGCTTCATGCCATTGTGATATCTGTTAGTAGCTTTGTGATCTGCTGATTCAAAACAAAAGAACTTTTGATAATTCTTGTTTACTTTAGGCTAGTCAACTAGGAATTTAAGCTACAAGTCTTATTTCCTGTGACCTGAGTTCTAAATAAATTTTGTCATTTTGATACATATGCCAAATATTTCAAAGTAATCAACTTTTTCACAAATGGAGCTTTTGAGCTTTGTAACATGCTGATATAATTAGGCAGTGTGCCTGGCTTTGATTTGTTTCCAAATTTGTAGAGATTTGAAATGTCTAGGAAACACTATAACTTTTTTTTTTAGAACTAATTCTGGCTTTAATAATTTTGGAATGAAGCACATAAAAGTTAGCTATAAAGTTGAAAAATATATTTGTTATATGTAAGATACCATCACAGTGGGCCCTTTTATCTATAACTTTTCACAGGTTGTCACTTAAATTCTATGAAGATTGTGTGAAGTGTTCTCATATGGACATTGATTTTTAATATAGGTAGAAGACTTTTTGAATCTTTCCTCAAAGCTGTCTGGATTTCATGTCTGTATTGACAAAGGGACTTTTGATGCCATAAGTCTTAATCCTGATAATGCAGTTGAGAAGAGGAAGCAGTATGTGAGATCTCTCTCCAGGGTGTTGGAAGCAAAAGGCTTTTTTCTAATAACCTCGTGTAATTGGACCAAGGAAGAGTTGCTAGATGAATTCAGTGAAGGTAAATGACTACATGGTATTCAATGTATGCTCACCTTAGGTTTTATACGTACATAGACTTTTGTTGTGGTGTTACAGTATTTTACATTTCTGTTTGTGGGAATTGTCTGGTTTTCTTCTGTGTTAATGACCTTGGTAATAACTTTTAACTGTATGTTCAAAGCACAGAGAAATAAATTGGTTGAGATCCAGAGGCCTTTTAAACATTTTTTCCCAGAAATCCTGGCAGTTAAAGTACTAAAATTTATGAGCTTGTAAAGATCAAGCCCTTTATTTAAGTAATATAGTCTTTTACTTAAGCTATATAATCTATTATTTAGGGACTCAGAAACAGCACATACGTTGTGCTTTTGACTTCAGTGCATTGATCCAGTGGCACATCTATAGTTGTGCAAATGGAAATACTATTTTTTAAAGTCTCACATGATGAGTGACTTAATTTTATATGTAGTTTATATGTTTTGCTTTAATGGCCATTTAAGTATTTAGGATTTGTCTTCTTGTTTTCAGTGTGTATAGAACAATTATTTTTAGCACTGCACAGAAACAAAATATGGAGAATTAATAGAAATTTTATTTACTAATTTCTTGAGGAAGTTCCTTTCTGCCTTTTGCTTGATTTTCTTGCCAAACAGGATCTTTTTTTTTTTTCCCCATTAGCCAAATGTAATTAGTACTGTGTGTGCTAATTAAGAGTCTTGTGAGGACTGAGAATCCATACTCTAAACATAGAACATCTCGAGTTTTCTGCAGATGGTTCCTTGTATGATTTATGTAATATTTCATTTCCCATTTATTCATGTAGTATACAGGCATTCCTGGGAAAGTATTTCGAAAAATCTTTGAGATTTATTTTTACTTTAAAATCTTTCTCAGGTTAGTATTTATTTTTAAAGAAGAATGGAAGGAATTTTCAGGAAGTATTAAGTAAATGTTACATACAGAATATTTGATTAAAGTTTGAACCCCAGTTGTCACAATTGGATGAGAAGGCAGTTACTTCGAGAGTAGTTGGCTACACTATTTTCTCTTGACTGTGTCATCACAATGCACACACCATATCATTTTTTTTTTTTTTTTTTTTTTTTCGTCATGACTGTGTTCCTTTTTTTGAGTCTGATTCGATAGCTTTGGTAAGCTCTCTTACTCCTTGTTTTTACACATTGGCTCTACTGTACCATCTTTTCCTTCCCTCCTAGGCCTCCAGTTGGGAATGCCTTACAGCCCTATGTAGACCAGGCTGGCCTTGAACTCACAGAGATCCGCCTGCCTCTGCCTCCGCCTCCTGAGTGCTGGAATTAAAAGGTGTGCACCACCATGCCTGGCTACATACCTTACCTTAGACTTGTTTTTCTTAAGGGACTGGGTAGAGAGAACACTTACCACGTCCTGTGTTCATTCAGTAGCGTTCTTGGGTTTTATAGTGTAGAAGTGAAGTGTTTGATGCTGGAAAGGTGGGCCTTTGCATTCTTTACTATTTATTATTTCTGGAAAAAAAGTGTGTAATTTATTGTTTTTTATTTTATTTTATGTCACTAATTTTATTATCTTCTGTGTTAAATTTGTTTTTCTTAGAACTCTTGAAGCCCCTGTCAATAGTCTTTCCTTCTTCCTAAAACTTGACAGTTTTAATAAATTCTCAGTTACATTGTGTAGGCAAGTTCCTTTCCTGGTTTTTAAATACAGGTGTTCTCTTTTACCACTGGAACCAGCAGACAGAGACACATTTGTCTGTCTTTGTGATAATAAGGAACAGACTTTAGCTTGCTTTAAAATGTGTCTGTGTCAAAGAACTGTTGAGTAAACTCTATATATTCAGTTTTAGAACTAAATATAGAATTAAAGTAAGCAAAATATTGTAATAGGAATTATTGAAAAATCAATTCATGCCTACCATTGAAGACATTTTTTAAAGATTGAGCTGCCTGAGATAATGGTGCTTGGAGTTAGATACAGGATAGCAGTAGAGTCCCGTGGCCGCATCATCACTGAGGGCCTCTTTCCTAGCTGCCTGGATGGAGCTTCTCTCTCCTGGCTCTGAAGGCTTTGTGCTTCTTTCCTTGTTTGGAATGAATTGTGCACTTGTCTGTGATAATCCTGTTCATACATTAAATATTTTACATTGTTGCAGTGAGGATTAACTTGAGTAAGTTCTGTTATTAGGTATTAGGTATCTAATTTGATGTCCAAAGGACTTGATTTTGCTGCAGCCACTGAGTTAAAACAATACCTGCTTATTTCATCACAAAAGTAACCCTGATTCATTATAAAAAAAGAAATATAAAAATTTTTATTTTAAGCATATGTAAAATTTTCAAGAACAAATATGAGTGTTTACCCATGCACCTAACATATTAAAACATGCATGTGAGCCAGGAAGCTGGCTCAGCAGGTAAAAGCTTGCCATGCAAGCTTGATGGCCTGAGGTCAGTCCCTGGAACCCACATAGTGAAGGGACAGAACCAACTCCCACAGGTTGTCCTGTGACCTCTACATGTGCTCTTTGACATGTGCATGTCCCCCCCCCCCCAAATGTAAAAACAGTTTGAAAGAAATCATGCTATTTAGGCCTGTGTGGTGGTACACATATATAATTCTAGTACTTGAGTGACTGAGGCAGGAGGATTGTGAGTTCTAACTTCCTGGGCTATAGAATGAGACTCCTAAAAAAAAAAAATCTCATATATATCCATATATGGATATATCTCTTAGATACTGATGAAACACCTCTCATGCTATCTGAAAAAAATGGTCCATCCTTCTTTAGAAAGGTTTTCTTTATATATATATATATATATATGTTTTATTTTTTATATGTTTGAGTGTATTGTCTGCATGTATATGAATGCACCGTGCCATGCAGTGTTGCGGAGGTCAGAAGAGGGCATCTGATTCCCCTGGAACTGGAGTTAAGGATGGTTTGTAGCCGCCATGTGGGTGCTAGGAATTGAACCCGGGTCCTCTGCAAGAACAGTCAGTGCTCTTAACTGCTGAGCCATCTCTCCAGCCCCAGAAAGGTTTTCTTATGCTCAGTTTCTTTCTGGCATATGTTTATCTTTTTACATTATTATTTATTTTGTGTGTGTGTGTTTGTGTGTGCCCTGTGTGTGCAGGTGCCCTCAGAGACCAGAAGAGGGCATCGGATCCCCTGGAGCTGGCATTATAGGTGGATGTGAGTCAGCTGCTGTGGAACTGAGCTTGGGTTCTGTGGAAGAGCAGCAAAGGCTCTTGACTGCTAAACCTCTCTCAGCCTCTTACTCTTCAGTTTAATTTATTTTAATTTTTTGAGACAGGGTCTCCTTGTAGCCCCAGCTGGCCTGGAATGCCATACATAGACCAGGCTGTCCTCCTTCTCACAGAGATCCTTTGCCTTCAGTGTCCTGGGGTTAAAGGCATGCACTACCACACTGAGCTCTTTTTTAAACTTTTGAGGCAGGATTTCACGTATCCCAGGCTGCCCTAATCCTTCTGCTTCTACTTCTGAATACTGAGATTATAGTTGTATGTCATCCTGCGCCAGTTATGGAATCAGACTTGGAGCTTCCTGCACTACTTCCTGCAAAGCACTCTATCAATTGAACCATTACGTTAATGATCCCCAGCCCTTATGTTCAGGTTTGACAGTCTCCCTGTAGCCCCAGCTAGCCTGGAACTCACCATGTAGACCACATTGGACTGAATTGCACAGAGTTCCACCTGCCTCTGCCTCCCGAGTGCTGGGATTAAAGGCATATGCCACCAGGCCCTGCTCCCCTTATGTTCAGTTTTTTAAAGTTAATTAATTAATTAATAATTTATTAAAATTTTTTATTTTTGGTCTTTTTGAGAAGGGTCTCCCTACAGCCCCAGCTGGCCTGGAAGTCACTATGCAGAGCAGGCTGGCCTTGAACTAACAGCGATCCACCTGCCTCTGCCTCCCAAGTGCTGGGACTAAAGGCGTGTACCACTATGCCTGGCAGTATTTTTTTTTTAATTTTATTTATTTTATGTGTATGCGTGTATTGCCTGCATGTAGGTAAGTGTGCCCGTGTTGTGCAGTGCCCGCAGAGGACAGAAGAGGCTGTCAGATCCCCTGGGACTGGAGTTAACGGAAAGTCATTACCTGCCATGTGGGTGCTGGGATTCGAACCCGGGTCTTCTGCAGGAACAACCAGTGTTCATAACTGCTGAGCCATCTCTCCAGCCCCACTGTTCAGTTTTTAATGAACATTTTAATATTGAGTTTCTAAGGTTTGGTGAAATAAGTTTTTTAAAATGATGAATTAGAGTATATAATTAAGCAATTTGGAGCCCAAAATTTGAAAGTCCAATTGATACCATAATATATAACTTTTAAACGTTTTTATTTCTGCTTATAATTATTTGAGGTCAAAGCATGTGGACTTTATTATTATTTATTTATTTTTGTCTTTTTGAAACAGGATCTCCTTATAGCCCCAGCTGGCCTGCAACTCATTATGTAGATCAGGCTGGCCTTGAACTCACAGAGATCTGCCTGCCTCTGCTTCTTGAGTGCTGGGGTTAAAGGTGTCCTCCATCATCCCTTGCTCCTGTTTTTATTTTTGATAGCAAAGTGTTAACAGTTGCATTATATTCTGTAGTTTAGGGACATACTGCACTGTCGTACTTGAACCAGTACACACTTGCTGGGAGTTTCTTGGAGGCCTTGGTTTCTGCCTCTTTGCATGGGATGCAGGGTCTTGGAGAAGACAGCTTGAGCACTTGGGAAGGGGAAAGCTGAGCTCAGGACATTGGCTTCTAAGGGATCCTTTCTTTTTTTTTAAATTTTATTTATTATTTTTATTTCATGTGTATGTGTGTATTGCCTGCATGTAGGTAAGTGCACCCGTGTCATGCAGTGCCCACGGAGGACAGAAGAGGCTGTCGGATCCCCTGGAACTGGAGTTAGGACAGTCGTTAGCTGCCTTGTGGGTGCTTGGATTCGAACCTGGGTCTTCTACAAGAACAACCAGTGTTCTTAACCGCTGAGCCATCTCTCCAGCCCTGAGATCTTTTATTTTATTTTTTGATATTTTATTATTTTTATTTTATATGTATGAGTGTTATGCCTGCATGTAAGTAAGTGCACCCGTGTCATGCAATGCCCGCAGCGGACAGAAGAGGCTGTCGATCTCCTGGAACTGGAGTTACGGAAAGTTGTTAGCACCCACGTGGGTGCTGGGATTTGAACCCTGGTCTTCTGCAAGAACAGTGTTCTTAACCACTGAGACATCGCTCCAGCCCCCGGGATCTTTTCTTTTAAAACTATACTGTGCTGCTTGGAAAATTACTAGTTTCGTATGGCTCTTAATCTTTCTTTAATCTTTTCTAAAACATGGTGATAAAACACTCAAAATGTTACTGTTTTAACAGTTTTAAAGTATATAGTTCAGGCTGGGCATGGGGACACATTTCATAATCCCAGCACTTGGTAAATTGAGGCAGGATGATCAGAAATTTGAAGCTCATGTTTGACTACATAGAGAGTAAGGCTAATCTCTGCAACACAAGAACGTGACACCCTGTCAAAAAAAAAAAAAAAAAATCAAAACTAGACCCATAAATAAATAAATGATGAATAAAGTGTAGAGTTCAGGGCCTTCATTGACCCTGTTAGAACCATCAGTATTATCTGTCCTCTGCAAGTTCTTCATCATTTACAAGTTCAGTCACCATTCACTTTGAAATCACACAGCTTTACAAAGGGTTTGAGAGAACGGTGTTAATGGAATATCCTTTAGTTGGTGAATACAATCTCTAATACAAGCATTTTTATCTTGTCTCACAGGATTTGAACTTTTTGAAGAGCTGCCAACGCCCAAGTTCAGCTTTGGAGGCAGATCTGGAAACAGTGTAGCAGCACTGGTTTTTCAAAAATCATGAAACTTCTTGGACAAAAGTCAGGTGGTTTTCTAGAAGAAACTGCACAGCCATGTAAACCTGACGCAGAATAAGCACGTGCAAATAGTGCTTAGTAAGTACCCAGCTTACAAGTGCAAATAGTGTTGAGCAAGTACACAGGCTGTATAGACTGAGTGCAGATCATGGGGTGGTGGGAAACCAGGAGCATGTGAATGGTTGGCATTTAGATAAAAACTAAGAATGATTTTAAATTTTGTTCTTTATTTGAAATAGAAATATTTTTCTTCTGACAAAACACTTTCTTGTAAGTACTAATCAGTTGAGAGCTTTAAAGCATTAAATGAATTCAGAGAGCATCTATTCTTGATTTTTGTAGGGTGAATTGAATATGACTGACTGTCCATGAAGATTGACCAAACTATTTTAAGGATAGAGTAACTAGAAATTTTTCTTAGTGCTTCTAGACTCCAAAGCATGATAAGCAGTGGCATTTTGGGTTGATTGGCCATTATTTTAAATATTATTTACTATCCAAGAGCGCACCCTGGTTTTCATGCATAGTAAATCAGAGACATAGCATTTGATCAAGAAATACTTCTTGAGCCTGTGTTTTGCAGCCAGCGATCTTCACACTGTGGCGGAAGGAAAGAGAACCCAGTGTTACTGTTTGAGTGCCGAGCCCTAGGTTGAGCAATATTAAGTCATTGACTCTTCGCAGTATTTTCTTTCGGTATTGCTTGCTTCTGCACATCAGAGAGCTGAGGCTGAGAGGTTGATATCACTTCTGCAAGGTCAAATAGCTACTACGGGCTGCAGCCAAGATCCTCATCGGGGTCTGGCTGACTCTGAAGCACCCTGTTTTTCTTACACAGTCCACCTGCCAGGTGCCAGTCTGCCTTTCCAGCATTTATAGAGCAGTGCTGTCTGTGAAACTCAGTCAGGCATTTCCAGGAGCTTTGCGGCCCTTTGCCATTGTTGCTCGCTAACAACTTCCTGTGTTCTCTGTGGACTCAGAAAAGTGAGTCAGCAGCCCATCTCATGTTATGTCATCACTTTTTTGCTATCTCTCTATGTGTTTTGAAAAACTTCCATTTTTCAGGAACTAGATTTTAGGCAAGGCCTGGCAGTCCTGTTATCTTAGCACTCAGGACGCTAAAGCAGGAGGAGCTAGAGTTAAAAGTCAGGGCTACAGTGAGACCCTGTCTCAAAAAACAAACAAAAAGCCACCCTCCCCCCCAAACAACAATAGCAAAAAACAACCCATTTAGGGAAATAGTAAAGTGCTTGCCATGCAAACAGGAAGACCTGCATTTGGATCTCACATTTATGAAGAAAACTTGTGTGCAGCAGTGTGCCTTGGAATCACAATGCTGGGGACACAGGAGGATCTCTGGGGTGTAGTGGCCAGCCTAGTTGAATCAGTGAGCTCTAGGTTCAGTGAGGGACCCTGTCTTAAGCAATAGGGTTGGCTGGGTGTGGTGGTGCACACTTTTAATCCCAGCACTTGGGATGCAGAGGTAGGCGGATCTCTGTTTGAGGCCAGCCTGGTCTACATGGCGAGTTCCAGGCCAGCTTGGGCTACAGGGAGACCCTGTCTCAAAAAGACCAAAATAAAAAAATAGGATTGAAGGCTAGACAGCTGGTTCAGCAGTTAAAAGCACTGGTTGCTCTTTCAGAGGACCTGGTTTCGATTCTCAGCACCCAGGTAGTGGCTGACACTCCAGTTCCATGGGATCTGATGCCTTCTTCTGACCTCTGTGGGCATTGCATGACACAGGTGCACTTACATACTTGCAGGCAATACAGTAATAGATATAAAATAAAGATAATAATAAAAAAGTTAAGAAAAATAGAATAGCTCATATCTTTAATCCCAACACTCAAGAGATAGATCTCTATGAGGTGGAGACCAGCCTGGTCTACATAGCAAGTTCCAGGCCAGCCAGGGCTCCATAGTGAGACCCTACCTCAAAAAAAAAAAAGCAGTTGAGAAAGGTGAAAGAAGATAGCTGATGCGGACCTGTGCGGACCCCTGAGGACCTCTGGCCTTTCCATGTGTGTTTACACCCAAGAGAAAAAAACGGAAAAAAAAAACCCCAAAAAATCAACTGTGAAAAATACTTGAAAAAAAAAAAATGGAGTCCCTGTGTGGACATGTTTATGCTGTCTGCAAAGGTAGAGGCTTTGGTTTCATTTTTAAATTTATTTTTATTTTTTTTAAATTGTGGAACTGTTGATAAGGTTAGAAAAAAGAGGGGTGGGGGACTTGGCCATTTTTTAAAAAATCACTTTAATTCTGCTAGAAAGCAGTTCGTCAAGGATTAAATCAGAACAAATAGAAGGTCTAAAAATGCTAACAAAAAATTAATATTTTCAAATAATGCCAAACTGTTAAAAGGCATGCTATTAAATATCCCTAAGTTAATGAAATAAATCACAAATACATTCTTTTTAAGCTTAGTATTGTTAAATCACGTGGGTGACAATGAAATTAGACAGTTTTTAAAAAGCGATGTGACATAGTGAGCACTGTTTTCTGTAGATAAGTTGGAATTGTCATTTTATTTAATCAAAAGAGACTTATTTTGATTAAAGTTGCTTGAAATGCAAATGTGATTTCTGCGTGGAGCAGTATAGAATTGTTGCTTTTCATGATGCTGCTGTTGCTGTACACCAGGCCACTTCCCATGTAGAAGTGCAAGCCCACAGGAGTTGAGGTGAGGCCTGAATGGTCTGGCTTCATCAGTTAGCACATAGAAAGTTTGAGAACATTTTGTTTTAGGCCAGGTGCACAAGGTGGAGTTTCTTTTGGGGATTGGCGCTTAAGTCTGTGAGACCCAACCTGACACTACTCTTGATATCTTGACTGAAGCCATTTTACAATAAATGCAAATTGTTCTTGATTTTTTTCCCCATTGTAGTATCAATAAGCTTGTTTTTTTTTCTTTAGCTGCAATATGTATATAACTGTTTATTTTGAGAGAAGAGAACCAAACATATACAAAAGGCTTTTTGTCTCTTTTAGAAATGATAGGCTTCATTTGACTCACTGTTTTTAAATTTCTGCAACGCAGCTCTGCAGGCTGACCTCCACTCCACTCATCTAGAGCAGGAATCTTACATTTTGAGGAACCTACACGTTTGTTTTCTTTCTTTTTTCATATCAAACCACTGTACCTTTATTTCACATCACATATGAAAGTCAGCTCAAAATGGATCATAGACTTAAATGTAAGTCTCAGAATCTTAAAAATATTACAAGAAAAGACAGGTGAAGATGACATTGGTTTGAGGAACCAACAATACAAATACAACAGAGGGAAAAAGCAGAACCAGACAATTTCTTACGTATTTTAAATTGTAATTCATTATTGAGTGGTTGGAAATATTCTTCTCTATCCATGGGTTATTTCTGTACTCTGTTAATGGTTTTCTTTACTGTTCAAAAGCTTCTTAGCTTGATGAAATCTTTGTGTTTTTTTTGAAGACTAGGTATCATGTAGTACAGACAGGCTTTGAACTTGCTATGTAGTTGAGGATAACCTTGAACGCCTGATCCTTGATCTTTTTGCCTCTCTCTCTCATGTGCTGAGGTTACAGGAGTCTACAGCACCCTGCTCATACTTAGGTTTTTCTTTTTAAATATTTTATTATTTTTATTTTATGTGTATGAGTATTGCCTGCATGTATGTGAGTGCATCCGTGTCATGCAATGCCATGGAAGTCAAAAGAGGGCTTCAATTCCCCTGGAACTGGAGTTATGGAGAGTTGTTAGCTGCCATGTCAGTGCTGGGATACAAACCTGGGTCCTCTGTAAGAACAACCAGTGTTCTTAACTGCTGAACCATCTCTTCAGCCCTCAAACTTAGGGTTTTTTTTTTTGGTCTTTTTGAGACAGGGTCTCCCTGTAGCTCCAGCTGTCCTGGTACTCACTATGTATACCAGGCTGGCCTTGAACTCACAGAGATCCACCTGCCTCTGCCTCCTGAGTGCTGAGATTAAAGGCCACACCCAGCTAACTTAGGGTTTTTAAAGTAATTTCATTTTATAGATCTGTGTTTATATATATGTTGTATATATGAATATATAAATGTGTGTCTTTTTTCTCTGTGGGTGGCCTATATTGAAAATATGAACAAATCTGAACAATCATTTTGTCTCCAGGGGAGGGATCTGGGTTTTGGTTTCCTGTTTTTGCCTCTGTGAACTAGAGTCTATTGCAGAGACAGCCTACAGCTTTAAGTGCAAGAGACCAAGTGTCTTGTGTTGCACAGCAGTACCCTCTTCAGTTGCAGGGGTGAGGATGGGCTCTGAAGGGAGTCATTCCAATAGATTCCATTGGAAGACGGGTGCTACAACCTAGAGTTGATTGTGGAAAGCAAGGGACATATTAGGTTTAACGACATCGTGGGGAAAAAAATTAGAAAATTCTTATCATTTCTTTTGGTTCAGCAGGAAACAGATCTGTTCACAGATGAAAGGGGAGTGCAAGAACATGTTTTATTAACAGTTAATGGAAGAAAATTAATGCTAATTTATTCTTCATACACACCGTGCAATTTGTTAGAAAAGTAAAAGAATAGTTTGAAATTCTTTGGTCAATTGATGGATTTCTATGTTAGGGGCATAGAAATGAAACTCAACATTAAGCAGACAAATACCCAAGCCCACAGGCTACGTAAATGCTGAATAAAACCAGCTTCACAATGGAACTCTGAAAAGCGTCGGGTACCCAGCCTAATGAATGACTGAATATGACCTTAGCAAAATCCCTGGAGTGCTGTTGAAAGATCATTCATTTTCAGCGTGGATGTCAAGATGGGCTCCAGTAACCAGAAAAAAAGAGCGCTTGAGTCAGTACTTACTGAGTATTAAAAATCTTTATAACACGGGGTGTTAGACTAATCATTAAAAGGGCTTCTCTAGCTAAATTTTGAGCTGGCACTATGTGGACCTGTAGCTTAGGCCCAGAGAAACCAAAGTGAAAAGATAGGAATAATTCCCAAGGCATCAGTGTATCAAATATCCTGCTTTTATGGAGTAGAACTTCAAAACTTGGGGTGTATGGACTGGCAGAATGAACCTTTGTCATGCTGATACCATTGTGAGAAAGATGTAAAACCAAGCCATCAGTTATGCCTTAAAGTATTTGCAAATTACTTGTCTAGCTTATTAGCGGGAGGTATAAAAAAACCCCAAATCTAAGTTTTTTAGAGACAGGGTCTCCCTATAGCTCCAGCTGGCCTCGAGCACTCTGTATAGATCAGGCTGTCCTTGAACTCAGTTGCACTTGCCTCCCTGGCTGGGACTAAAGGCGTGTTCCACCACACCCAGCAAATCTAAATTTTTCAGAAGAAACAATTTTGTTTTCTTGAAGAAACAGTAAATTCTTCCATGTTATATTTTTACATATGCATTGTTATTACTGAATCAGCAGATGATACATATTTTAGTGATTTTTTTTCTGCATGCTGTCTAGAAGCTTCTTTTAAAAAGTGAGTCTAATCTGCATTTTTTGCAAAGCCATAAGCATTTACACATGATCCAGCCATTATATATCCTAGATAATATCAGAGTAGCTTAGAAAGAAATGTGGAAATAAGTCAGTTGATGAGGGGTCTGTGTGCTGTGATTCTCTCTTCGTGAATACCCTGTGGACAGTGAAGTTCATTACCTGGGATGGAAGCAGACTAGAAACTGCATTGTGATGGTGGTGGCTCTCTGCCGTTGTCCCCCTCATGGCTCAGAGAGGAGAGCCTCGTGAGGAAGAGGCTAAATGTGGACGAGTGTGGGTGCTGTGAGTTCACAGTTGCTTCCTAACGTCTCTGCTAATATGAAAATGTCAGGCCTTTGTTCCAATCTAATTTTAGTACATCCTGGCTAAAAAAAAAACTATGAGGATGATTTCTAACCATGGAACTTGGAGGGGCGGGCACAGGGAGGGAGAGGAGAGGAAAGAGCAGTTTGTACGCCATATCCGCCTGCCTCTGCAGAGCACCTAGCCTGCACTCTGTTGATTTTTGGTAATGAAATAAATTCAGGTGCACTGAAGCAGTGATAATTAGGTTTTCCTTCCATGTCTCTGATAAGAAGCCTCATTGGAGTCTGAATGGGGAAAATTATGATCTGGTAGTTAATAGACTACAGTGTTGTCCCGAATTAAAGAGGTGTGTAAAGCTTTGGAAGGAAAGCCTGGCGGTGAGTGGCACACAACTTGCTTGTTGTGTTGTTTGTAGATAGAATGTTTGAGGATCGTCTGAGTGTAGTGACACTGCTTTTACACTGCTGTTTGGAATGAGAGTAGCATTTGTTGGTTTTGAGAAGTAGTCATAAGTAAGGCACATAGGTTTGATCTTATCCCCTCTGCAAACCACAGCAGGCCTAGAGTGGAAAGCTCTGGTTTTGTGGCGAGAGCTGCTGGGGTCAAATAATTGATAATATAGTTTATTCAAGCAGTAGGATAAGGTTCCACGTGGATTTATAGCTACAAATATGGACTACTGTGGTTATTTAATTAAAAAGCAGTTAACTAAACAGCCACTCCAAGTACCTTAGCACACTATGAAATAAGCACAAAAATCAGTCTGTCAATCATCTAATCAGTTTGTTATGTAATAGAATAACAAAGAGATTTGACCTAAAGAAAACACTTTACTTTTCTCTCTGCAAATCAAGGGCATTTGGTAGGTAAACTTTTTTTTTAAATTTTATTTATTTTTATGTGTATGATTGTATTGCCTGCATTTGTGTAAGTGCACCTGTGTCGTGCAGTGCCCGCGGGGGTCGGAAGAAGGCATCAGATCCCCTGGAACTGGAGCTACAGATGGTTGTTAACCACCATGTGGGTGCTGGGAATCGAGCCCGGTCCTCTGCAAGAGTAGACAGTGCTCTTAACTGCTGAGCCGTCTTTCCAGCCCCCTTTTTAAAAAACTACATTTTACTTATTTTGATTGCTCAAGCACACATGTACATGTGTGTGTGTGTATTTACTTGGATGTGGGTGTGCAATGGTGTACCTGTGGAAGTCAGAAAAACTTGGAGGAGTCGGTTCTCTCCTTCCACCATGTGGTTCCTGGGGATCAAACTCAGGTCATCAGGCTTGGTGGCAGCACCTTACCCACTGGCCATCTTGCTGAGCCGCAGTAGGTAACCTTTTAAGTTTGCTCCCACCACTGCACCACAGATACTATAAGCTGGAGGGCTTAAAGTACAGAGATTTCTTTTTCACAGTTCTGGGAGATGGGATTCCAAGGTCAAAGTGCTGGCAAGATATTATTTTACATCTGTTGTATGTGTGCGTGTGTGTATGTGTGCACACATGGAGGTCAGAGGATAGCTTGTGGGAGTTGGCTCTCCTTCCACCCTGTGGATTTTGGGGATTGAACTTGGGCTCTCATCTTTGCCCACTGCACCATCTCACTGGCCTAGGTATGAAAATCTTGAAGCCTGGTCCCTTGGCTTGTAGGTGGTTGCTGTCTTCTGTGTTCACATGAGCTCTTTGTGTGCACTAGGGGAAGGGGAGGGTTTGAAAGAGAAGGAGCACACAAACTTGGGTCTTTTATGTAAGGACACTGTTCTCGTATGACAGCCTTACCCTCATGACTGCATAGAACTCTGATTACTTTATGAGGGTCCCCCCTGCAAATACCATGGCATTATGGGGTTAGGGCTTCAGCATATGATTTGGGGAGGAAACAGTCTGTCCAAAAATCCCTGAAATTGAAATTTAATGAACAAAGTCTACAAAATGGATTTCTAGTGTGTGTGTGTGTGTGTGTGTGTGTGTGTGTGTAATTCCATTTGCTAAATATCAGTTGTTGGGTAACTTGATGGCTCTTAAATAAGTATCTGTATAAAGAAAAGTACATATATAATAAAATATTTGATGCAAATGAATATTTTTCAATCTAAACCTTGTGCTTGGTGATTTATTGTTTGATAATATATTGATTATTCAGTTTGTATTCATTTGACCGTAGAGATGATTTGTCCAATAAATACAGAAATTTACATCTCATTGTTTAGTCTGTTTCCATTTTATATATAGAAAGATCAAGGTTAAGAATAGGTCCAAGTGGAGCTGGAGAGATGGCTCGGAGGTTAAGAGCACTGGCTGCTCTTGCAGAGGACATGGGTTCAATTCCTAATACCCACATGGCAGCTCACAACCATCTGTAACTCCAGTTTAAGGGGATCTGATGCCCTCCTCTGATCTCTTTGGGCATTGTATGTACATGGTGCACTTACGTAACATGCAGGCAAAACACCCATGTACATAAAATAAAAATAAAGACTAGGTCCAAGGAAAACTCGTGATGATCTGAACAATCTCCTTTTGCCTCCTCTGTGCCCCACATATAAACACCTGATACTCAGATGGCTGACTTTATCACACTGAAGTCATAGGCTTTGAGACATCTACCTCTGCACCACAGAGACTGCTGAGTCTGGTTTGTGGGTCTGTCCTTTGTACCCACTGCTTTGGTGAGCTGCTATCAGTTTGTCCTGTAATTGCTTATCCTGCCAATGAAAAGGTTTTGTTTTAAATTTTTTGGTGGTGCTGTGGAGTGAGCCCCAGGACCTTGTGCATGTGAGGCAAGCACTCTACCACTGGACTCTATCTCCAGCCCTGAAGCTGAGCTGTGTTAAATGCAAAAGCAAATTGTCTAACATGTAATACTTTGTAAGGTTGGTTTCCTTTCTGCACATTTCTTTGAAGCAACTTGACAGTCAGAGAATCAATGGTGTAGACCCTTCTTAGAGGCGTTGTGAATATTGTGAAGATAAATATTGGTCAGCTTAGTGCAGTTCTTAGCACACACCAATGCCAAATAAATATTCTTTCCTCCAAGGACCCTTCTTCCCATTAGAGCTAATAGGTTGAATTGTTCAGGATTTTATCCCTTAGTGCTACCGAGTTAATGTAGTCAGTTCCATTGAAAGGCATTTGTATGGTAGGAGTGATAAATGAGTGCTGGGGGAGGAGTAAGAGAACATTTGGAACAGGTGGGTCTTCCAAAACTTCTTTAAAAACCATACTGTGGGGGCTGGAGAGATGGCTCAGTGATTAAGAACACTGGTTGTTCTTGGAGAAGACCCGGGTTCAAATCCCAGCACCCACATGGCAGCTAACAACTGTCCGTAACTCTAGTTCCAGGGGATCTGACGGTTTCTTCTGTCTTCTGGGGGCATTGCACGACACCAGTGCACTTACTTACAAGCAGGCAATACACTCATACACATAAAATTGAAAACAAAACAAAACAAATACTGTGTAGCTCCTTCCTTATTTAGCTTGGGGCGGTGATGAAGCACCTTTTGATTAGTTTAGGAATGGGGACTAGTTACCAGGAGGCCAGAGTTTCAGGAGCTGTCCTTATGTATGTTTCAGAATACCCTTTAGATCGAGATCCTTATCTGTTTTTTTTTTTTTTTTTTTTTTTTTTTTTTTTTTTTTTTTATTGTTTTGGTCTTTTGGGGACAGGGTCTCCCTGTAGCCCCAGATGGCCTGGAACTCACTATGTAGACCAGGCTGGCCTGGAACTCACAGAGATTCGCCTGCTTCTGTCTCCCAAGTGCTGGGACTAAAGGCGTGCACCATCATACATAACTCTTAACTTACCTCTTCTAAGTGGTATTTAAATGGTGGTAAATGTAGAGGTGATGGTGAAAATGTTAATGTAGATGTGTTGGAATAGAAAACAAATGAGCAAGGTTCCGTGTGCCTCACTAGGTCTGAGTGCCAAGGTACACCAAACAGGGACACAGATTGTGGGAGCAGTGACTTGGTAGCACTGGATTTATTATTATTATTATTAATTATTATTGGTCTTTTTGAGACAGGGTGTCCCTGTAGCCCCAGCTAGCCTGGAACTCACTTTATAGACCAGACTGGCCTTGAACTCACAGAGAGGCCTACCTCTGCCTCCCAAGTGCTGGGATTAAATGTATGAGCCACAATGCCAGTTGTAGCGCGCCGGATTTAATGAGAATTGTTGAGTTTGGATGTGGGTCAGTTATGGCCGGTTATGAAGCAGTAGGTTGAAATTTTATAAATGCTGTCTACTTTGCATCATCCAGATCTGATTTCTTTGATCTGTGAGTCATATTTCCTCTCCTCTAAGTTGAGCTTAGAGTGCCATTTACATGGTTTAATGTTGAGTAATACTCTTAAGTAGTTTATCCAATTTGTCCTTAGTTTATACAGGAACTGACAATATAGTGTGTAAAGGTGCAGTGAACCACTTGTTTATGTTAGTCTAGAAAACATTTGATTTTCAGATTTGTTTGTCTTTAGCCATTTCATTGGTGGTTAAGTGAATATCTCAGTGTTTATGGAGTGCCTAGCATGGCTGTGGGAGTGTTAGGCCAGAGCCCTGTTGCTTTCACTAGCCAATCTCAAGAAATTGTAGATCTTTTCGGCTTTTTGTTGTTGTTGTTTTGTCTTTTTGAGACAGGGTCTTCCTGTAGCCTCCGCTGGTCTGGAACTTGCTATGTAGACCAGGCTGGCCTCGATCTCACAGAGATCCTTCTGAGTCTGCCTTCTGAGTGCTGAGATTAAAGATGTGAGTCACCATGTCTGGCTGTTTTGTGTTTTTGAGATAGTCTTTGTTATGTCATTCTGATTAGAATTCACTGTATAAATTACTTACTTCAGACTTATAAGGATCCTCCTGCCTCTGCCTTCCTAATTCTGGGCTTACAGGCATGTGCCAAGAGGTCCAGCAATAAATTGTCTTCTCCCCCACCCCCTTTTTGAGATTGGGTCTCCCTGTGGAATCCTGGTTACCTACCTTAACCTTCTGAGTGCCACTATGCCTGACAAGTCTTTCCATCATTTATTTTTATTTATAAATTTTATTTAAAAAATATTTATGTATATTAGTGTTTTGCCTGCATGTAAGTGCATTCATGTCATGCAGTGACCAAAGAG